AGAGCATCTGGACCTGCTGATTTGAACACGTCCAGCCCCTCCAGTAGCACTCTAACCTGGTCCTCCTCAACCTTAGGTCTTGAGGCATTCCCCTCCAGTCCATCTTGAATCATGGTTGGGGAGTCCCCGTCCCTGCACAAGAAAACAGAGGTGAAGAAGGAGGAAGTATGGTTGTACTAGAGGGTAGGCTGGGGATTCAGGCCAACCTGGACAGGCTCACAAGGTGGGCAGATCAAAACCTGATGACATTCAACACAGAGAAATGCAAGGTGCTTTACCTTGGGAGAAAGAACCCATATCATACTTATAGGCCCGGCAGTGTCCAGCATCCCTTGAGGTGCCCAAAGTCACACTCCACCAGAGTGTAGATCTGGCCCAGGCACCAGTTGAAGTGGGCCTGGCAGGGATCCAGCTGGCTGGTGTAGGGCCACATAAGTCAGGGCAGGAGTGGGTAGGCACTTAAATTTAAATTTTCTAATCTTGTAGCCCAGAGGTCAGCAACCTACAGCTCATGGAGTGAGCCAGACTGAGGAGTGAGGATGGGGAAAAAGTCATGTATGTATTGAAGCATGTTTTCAAGCATGTATTGAACACAACAATTTGCAAAGCATGCAACAAAGAGCAACCAAAAATCTTCATCTAAGCTAAGATACAGCCCAGTAAAATACAGCATACACAACTTATTCTAACTCAGGGGTAGTCAACTGGGGGTACACTGCTCCGCGTCCAGCCACATTTAGTACTTGTATAAATGTATTTTTTCCACATTTCCCTTTAATCTTAGTGAGAACTTCAAAAGGAATAACACTCAAAGAAAATAGCACCGTGCCACAACCCCGTCCGCTGATATAGCAAACCCCTTTGGAGTCGTGACCCACCGCTGCCCTACATCCATAGGCCAAATCCAAAGGTTCCATGAGCTGTAGGTTGCCGACCCCTGGGCTACAAGATTAGAAAGTTTAAATCACTAAGTAAGAAAAGATGTGATTCATGATCTTGTCTTCCCCAAATAGATGGATTCTGTTACCTGAAACCCATTTTTTCCACATTTCCCCTTCATCTTAGTGAGAACTTCAAAAGAAATAACACTCAAAGAAAATAGTCAATATTTTTAAAGTCAGGAGTATGTTCCATTGTTTAGTACTTGTATAAACAAACACTAAATGACTGTGTAGTAACTGCAGTTACTGCACAGCAGCACTGCCAAACAGCTTTTAGGTGGCACTGACTGTACAATAGCTCGTTACAACTGCGCAGCAGCATCGCATTATGCTTCCTGCCATGCAACACTGCTGCACAGTAGTAACAAGCAACTGTGCAGTCAGCATCTCATGTAGATGCGGCCACTATAAATATATCTGTCTTAGAGATGGGTGACAAATATTTTCATTAGATTTGACTGGAATTTGTTTTACATTTGATACAAAAAAGCCAGAGTTTGTTCAGTTCTTAGACATACTCTAAGGACTCTCTTTTAGTTCCACTTTATTTATTTATTCATTTAGAATATTAGCAAACTGATTTATTTGGTTTTATTTATTCAGCTCTGAGAGCCATTATCTCTTACTTATATGTCAATTGGGTGTCATATTAATTTTTTTTTAAATATTAACAGCTGGCCTCTTCTGACGAGTTTACCACGTACATCAAAATCTTCACCCCAAGTCTAGTTTTCCTTCATCATAGATATATTCATTACATTTTGCTGGAGTAAACTGAAAGGACAAGTAGGTCAAAGGAGAAGTAAATGCAATTCAAGAAACCACAAGAGATTAACACAATCTGATTTGTGTTGTGTGTCCTGAGCACTGAGCAATGCAGTTTTACTGGCTGATAATGGAAAGATTAGTGTTTCAGCCTAAACTGATGCATAGTAGCTACTTAGGCAATCTGGTTTCATGCCATTCCCACTCTATGAAGCTAAGTTTAGAAACACTGAGCTATATTTAGCTCTTTATCTTGTTCAAATCCAGGGTAATGCAGTGAAATCAACAGGGATATACCCTATAATTGAAGTAACTAAGAAGAAAATTAAGCTCATTGCTAAAATTGTTTGTACATAGAAGATTCCTGAGACTTATTTCCTGACAGCAAAATTTAAGCTGAGACTTGGAGTGCATTGTGAGCATTGTACATTTTAAATAATGTAGCTGAATGTTAATGCAATTTAAAATAAGGCATGGGAGCAATAAAGGAAAATAAATACATTTTTCTTTTGTTCACATCTTAGCTTGCAGGCAACCGATAAAATAACAAGCGCAATCTGGAAATGTCTGCATAGCAGGGGGAACATTTTTTGTGCATTGCTGAAAAGCTTTTAAGCATGCTAATCTGTTAGCAAATTTGAAAAAAAACTGTTGGAAGCAAAGTTAAAATTTGATAAATGTCCTGATACTGTCTGAATTAATTCATTATCTAAAAGGCCTACAGTTCTTTGATTCCACTCTAAACAACAGGAATCACTAGGTTACATTTTGAGGACATTTTGTACTACACTGAAATAGGAAAAAGTGTTATGATAAGGGAAGGTAAGAATGTACTAGAGGTAGAAGAAAAGGAAAAAGGAATAAAGAAATGAAGGAGAGAAAAAGCATGCATTTTAGCTTTGCAAAATTTTACTTGTACTCCTGTTTATTTTAAGTATTTCTCTGGGGTATCTTAAATATCCTTTATATTTGGAGAAAATTAGGAATTAATTTCTTTACTCTGAATCCTTATATTAGTACCTCTGGCTATCAACTCAAGATCCTGTCAGCATCTTCTGAGCTGCTAGCTACTTTGGTGCTCTTGTACTGTACAAGATGCTACCTGTGCTGTCTTTTTTAAGTGTAAAATGGAGTTGTTTTTTCCACCCTTTCACCACTTTGGCATGTTTCTTAAGCAGACGGGCTATGGCTAGTGCCTTATCGCTCCTTTTCTTCTTCAGAAACACCTCTTCGTTCCTCCCCCAAGGACCCTACTAGAGAACACAAGCCTTCATTCTGTTCTCAGTAACATCATTGGAAACCTATGGTAAAGTCTATGGAGTTGCTCTTAACTGACATAAGTGTAACCAACTTCATGATCTAATCTACTTTCCAGCTCATAGAAAGTGATAAAGCCTATTTGGGAATCTTTCTACTAGTGCAGGAATGTCCCCTATTGTACATATCTTTATATTTTTTCCAGTTTAGTTTTATATGTCCCAAGTGATGGGGCACCCATCACTTCTCTTGTTTAATTTCATATCTCTATTCTAATAATGCCCTGGTGCATTATCTTAAATGTTTTATTTCCCTCCTTGTTGTTTTGGCCTCTCGGCTTTTATTAAATCCAAGGAAAGATGGTCCAGTAATTAGGACACTACTCTATAACTAGATTTTCTTGGCCAATTGCCTGCTCTGCCATATGCTTACTGTCTGGCCTGGTCTAAGCTACTCGGGTTTATATCCAAAAGCAAAGGCAAAGCATTTAATATGATCATAATGATCAACCTTAACATTCTCAAAATGAAAAAAATGCTAAAATGTACATAGTCTTATGAAACATTGATTTTTCTGAAAATCCATTTTTCAAAGAAAGCTAGTTTATTGACAATTTTGCTATCAGCTCTGGTTATGATAATACAGTATTATCCTTTAGATAAGAAAATGATAAATACATTCCTGATTTCCTGATAAAATGAGTTTAATCATTTAGTGATTAAATACTTAATCACTTTGTTATTGAACTCCATCATCTGGTCATTGAGAAATGATGGTCTAACAGTGAGGAAATGAGGAGAAGGGAATGACAGTCATCTCTGGAAGGAGAGAAATGTATATAGTCAGATCTTCAATAGACACATATCAGCAGAATAGTGATTAACATCCAGTGAGGACTGAGGCCTGGCACTTTGTTCTGTATTTAGTTTTAAATCTTACTGCTGTTTTTCAAACTTAGTTGTGGGAAGGTGGGGGTTACCATTCACTTTGTAGGTAAGATAAAACAATAACTCATCCTATTCCTTAACCCCATGCTGTATGGATTTACAGTGGCTCTTGGCTGTGGGTTTGTACACTACTGGTATAGCATGGGGGAAAGTGATAGCTGTTTTGCCTCCTTAAGCCAAATGAGATATATGAAATATACAGAACATTTGCATTTCCAGGTATTTAACTAATCCTGGGAACAGACAAAGGGCCAAATTCAGACAAATGCAGCCTGGAGTAAGTGGGTGCAACATCCATGGAAATCTGTGGGCCAAATTCCTTTGTGATGTAAACCATGGTTAAAGTTACATGTTGAGTTTAAATTGATCATAACTTAAATGTGTTAGTCAAAATAGCACATCCTGCACAGGCTCAGTACTTACTGGCCTACAAAATGAATATAAAAATACAGTGAAACTTTTAGTAAGAAAAAAATTAGCACAAATATGCATGATAAAGTACCTTTGCATGCCACTCTCCCCATTCCAATACATTTTCATTTATATCTACACCATCCATGGTGTTTTCAGAGCCACAGTGAGGCTTGGCATAAATGGGCCAACTAACACAGAGTTGTGCCTATTCACTCAAGGACTGAATTTTCCCCCCAGCATAATGAACTTGCCTCCTTACAATCATTTTGGTTTTGGCAACCATCAATCCTTCTGGATCATGGTGTATGCATGAGGTCACCCAGACCTTCAACACATTCATTCAGTGTTTTACACCTTTTCATTTAATTCTTTTTTGTTTCTGCCAGTCGGGGGTTTTTGGAACGTGCCCTTACATGTCTGACTGCTTCTTTAGTGTACATACATTACCTACATGACACAGCACATCTCTAATTTTGGAATGTCTCAACTGTTTGCTGACCATAAAGATGCTAATGCTTCATGACATTTTTTATTTCACTGGTATTTGGTCTTTTTGAAAGACTTATGAGAGCCTTAATAAGCAATGATTGGAGCAGCGCCAAAAGTTCGTTTTCCCCCCGGGCATTCTGCATGTGACTGTGGTAACAAGGACCCTGTACTATTTGTTTTTTTCCAGATTGATGGATTCCTGACACTTCTTTTTGGCCTGGCTAGCATTAACACTCTTACAGTGATCAGTGTGACACGTTACATAAAAGGCTGCCATCCTGACAGAGGTAAGGTCTTTACACCATACACACTTTTAGAGGAATGACAAGAAGTGTTCGCCAAGTTCTGCCTTTTTTTTTTACCTTCATATAAGCCTTGAGTGACTTCCTTGAACTTGTGGAGGTTTCACTAATGCCAAATGCATGCACAAAAAATCAAAATCAGACTAGATGTGTATGCCAACAGGGTGCCAGGCAACTGTGTACTGAAATATGCCTTGCCAACTCCATGCATGCTAGCTCCTGAACTGGAAGCAGTATAGCCCTGTTAGTGCGGTTTCTTCATCTCCACACAGCATTATACTAACACAGCTACCCTGCTTCCAATTCAGAAACAGAGGGAATGTGGAGGTGCCTTGTATAGTGCAGACATACCCAATAATGCCTGGTAGAATCCTGTTTCCATCAAAGCTTTCACAGTCTGGGTATCCGTTAAGCCTTTCAAAGTAGGGTACTTGACTGATGCATACATTTATCTATCTTGAATTATATGAAATTTAGGACAGTTGTCAACTGTTGGTAATATCCTCAGCATAGATTACTGCCTTCTGGAAACACATTTTTGCCCTTAGTGGTGTTTTGCCAGCTTCTGCCTGTTAATGGGACTTTTACCTGCTCACTGCAGGCACTGTGAACTGGCTTAGCTGTCTAATGGGACTCTCAGGCCTAATTCTCTCCCCACAACCTCTCCACTCCTATCCGGTCTTGAATTTCAAGATGCCTCTCTGAAATTGTGTCTGCAATGTAGCAGCACTATCTCAAGATCAGTAGACCTCATTCTGATCAGCCTATGAAAAAGGATACCATGTGAGATCAGAATCAAGCCCAGTACCTTTCAGACTAAATTTATCTTCAGAGACAGACTTTTCTCTGTGGCTGTAGGGAACGGGACTGGGAGCAGTGGTTTTAAACTACAGCAGTGGAAATTTAGGCTTGAGATTAGGAAGAACTTTCTAACTGTGAGGGTAGCCAAGCATTGGACCAGGCTCCCTAGAGAAGTTGTGGAATTTCCATCCCCGGAAATTTGCAAGAGCAGGTTGGACAGACACTGTAGTGGGGTGACTTTAGTCAGGGATAATCCTGCTCTGATCATGAGGCTGGACTAGATGACCTCAAGGGCCAGGTATAGACATTACACTTTTATTTGTATAAGTGATCTGAAACTGGTCTGTACCCATAACAGAACAGAAGTTCAACACACAAAACTGATCTATAATCATAACTGAACAGAAGTTCGGCACACACAGACTGATTTGAAAATGGTGGAACCTGGCCTAAGATTTGCCCCCTGCACCAAACGGCAAATATGTGTTTTGTTCACCACCGATTTAAACTACACTGATTACAGAAAACGGCGTAACTTAGATCGATTCAACCTTGGGCTTTTGGAATGTCTGTACCTAGCCAAGAGGTCCTTTCCAGCCCTACTTTTCTATTATCCTATGACCCTATGATTTTTCATCCTAGTCTTTCATTCCATTCCCTCATCTACCTCCACTGACAAAACAACTCTCCTTTTTCCCCCCTCAGCTTCAAATCTTCTTGTCACCTTTGCCTCTCCTTGTCACCCCTCCCTTCTCTAGTCCCCTGTCTAAATCTTGTCACGTCTTCCCTTTAACCTCTCAAAAGGTCTTCACGATTCCTAGTGGTTAAGCCCTCTGTCAAATACTGACTCTTTATTTTCTAATAAACCATGCATTTTTGTAACTTCCATATACTCTGGCTTTGCTGAATTGCCATGGTTAAGTATCTCCCTTTACTACTGTTGAACATCCCTTTGCAGACCTACATTTATTTCCTGTCCCTTGATCTGTTAAATGCATATACTACTTGTCCTCACCAAGTCCTACATGAACATGCCACCATCACCCATTCTGTTCTCATGCCGGTATATGTTCCACTGATGCCTGTCAATCATCCAACAACACCTGATCATTGATGCCCTTCTCCCACCATTTATTCTGTACTGCCTGTTCTGCTGAAAATTTTCTTCCTCTAAAAATGCTCACTCCTCTGCTTCAAATCTCTCTTATAACCCTGTTCTCCCAACCCTCCTTCAGTCATCAATAATCCCCGCACTATCTCGTAACTCAGCTGTTTTCCAAATTCTTATCTTCATCATGTGTGCAGAGCCAACCCTAAGGGTGTGCAGGGCTTGGGGCGTATCAGCCTGTGCAGGGCCTGTGTGTGTGAGGGGAGGGGGTGGTGAACAGTTGAAGCACAAAGCTGGCGGCATGCGGTGGCTGTGCAGAGTGGTGGCGCAGGGCCCCCCAAAGTGCAGGGCCCAGGGTGGTCATCCTGATTCACGCCCCCCCACCCCAAGGAACGGCTCTGCGTATGTGGATTGGGCCCCACAGGGTGCATCTAGATGTGCGTGGATGTTTGGTTCCCCAGGGACAAATAGATATTCAGGGGTCAAAAAAACCCACAGAAAAAAAATCTAGCATAGAGCATGCTTGGCCAGCAGGCCCTTGTAGCATGGAGAACACTGGACTGTGTGGTATGTGGTGCCGCATACCTCATGACTCTGCATATCTCCATGCGCCCACAGGGGCTTAGGTGCAGTTTGTGAATCTTGCATAGGTTTACTTGCCTAAATACTCAGCACAGCCAAGAGAACTGATCATACACAGTGGCAGTGGTTTTCTGGCAAAAACGTAGGCACCTAGGAGTCTTTGGCCACCTAATGGAGTTAAGTGAGTTTCTGCAAATCACTCTTGACTTTAGTGTTTCAGTTCCTTTATGAGCCTTACCTTAAGTAACTGGCACTTTAATAATGTCTTGTGCTTTGAAGAAAATTAGTATTTTTTGTCACCTCTTCTTTAGGGACTACCTTACCGCTGGCACCTTGAGAGCCAAATTAATAGCATCTAGGGTAGCAGGATCATACACATGTGGTCTAGGAACAGACATTACATATAAACCAGTTTATGTGATCAGAAACTGGTGTAAACCTGTAATAGAACATAAGTTCAGTGCACATAAACCAGTTTCAAAATGGCTGAAACTGGTTTAAGATAAACCTAGTTGAATGTAATATCAGACTTAATTGATTTGGGTCAAACCAAGTTATGCAGTTCTATCCCAGACCCCTTCCTGGTTTAAGTTAAATGAGAGTCCCCCATATCCCAGATGTTTTGCAGCTCTGGGCTGGGCTAGGCTGTGCTCTATGGTGCAAGGAACAGGTTGGCCCTGCTCCTCTCCTCCCTAGCCAAAGCTTTGGGGCAGACTGCAGGCACAGCAGGGTCTGCCTGGCTTCCCTTGCTGCTGAAGCAGGAATTTCCCACTCCCTCCCTTCCACAGCAGGGACTGTAGCCCCACAAACCCTAGGCATGTGGTATGCTAGCTAATGCTGAAAGGTGTCTGTGTGTGTGTCTCCAGTTTCACTGGGACAGGCAGACAATACACTGTCCCCTTAGGGCTTTTTGGAGATAATCAACAGGGGAGCTGGTACTATCCCTCCATTCCTTTCTTGGAAAAAGCTGTTTAAGAACAGCTTGAACTAATGACAGAGGCTTTGTTTTGCTGATGAACTGATAATACAGTGGTTTGCTGATGGGCTGATAACACTATGGTTTTATCAGCTCCTCATGCTGGTTTGCAGCCCTGTCAGGTTTACAGACAGGGAGAGGGAGATTGAAAAGCTAAGTACCATTAACAGATGCATGCACTGCACCCCTCAACCCTCACTTGCTTTGCCTCAGAGTGCTAGCTGGGGGCTGTGGGCTGGCAACACTCCCAACCCTTAAGCAGTGAGCCGGGAAAAGCCTGAGATGGTGCAGGCCAGGGAGTGGGTTTAAATGCCTCCCTAATCCTAGCATCCTGCCCAGGCCTATGGAAGGGAAAGGAAGGCTGCTCTAGCACCCCCTGGCTTCTAGCCTGAGCCACTGCAGGCATGTGCGTGCATTTCTAGAATGAAAAAGGAATGTCTATCCACCTCCAAATTGATTCAAGCTTTGCAGATTAGACTAATCTTCAAAGATTGAATCAATTTAGGCTCAGGCTTTTTGAATGTCTGTCCCTGGCCCTAGGGCCAAGCTTCCAAGGCCCCTGCAGTGCAGATGAAGTAGGGTTACCATGTGTCTGGGTTTTCCCAGACATGTCCTCTTTTTTGGACACCTGTCCTTATGTCCAGGTGGGTTTTTAAAATGCGAGGAAATGTCTGGGTTTTTGCTCTTCCTCTGCTTTCCCAGGCTGGCTGCTTGGGACTGGGAGCCACAGGCAAGGTGATTGGCTTTTGGGGGTCATGTGCTCTATGCACAGGCCCCGGCAAGTGTGTGTGTGTGTGCCCAGAGCTGTGTGGGCAGTAGGGCTGGGGGGACAGGGGACTCTGGGTCAGGAGTGAGGAGCACCAGCAGAGCTGGGGTGGGGAGCTGCGGGTCAGGAGTGGGGTGTGTGGCAGAAGGTCACCTCTGTTTCTCCCAAAAAACTCTGGTCTGTGACAATTTGGTTAGGATGGGCCCTGCAGAGGGTACACACCTTACCCTATCTCTTTAGGTAACCTGAGCTGGATACATTCCTGAGGGAGGGGGAAAACCTGCTCCCTCTGCCTACGTAACTGGCATCACATACCTGGATGAGGGGCTTGGGCTCCCTGGGGAGCTAGGAACTGCCAGTCTGCCCAGGAACTAGTGATGCATTTCAAATTGGTTGGCTGACAGCCAACAGGTGCTGGCCTCCATTGGACCAGGTAAATGAGGTCATAAGGGCTATATAAGTTAAGGACCGCCCAGGAGGATGGAACAGCAGCCATGAGGAAGACTCAGAGATAGAGAAGAGCTGGACCATCTGAAACTTGCTCTCTCTCTCTCTCTCTCAAAACTCATGATCAAAGAACTGCCTGCCTCTAGAGGGAATCTCCACCTGACTCTGGATGCTTGTGAGTAAGCTACCTGAGATCTAACTAGATATGTAGCTTGCAGTAACTCAGATGCGTGATCATAGATTACCCAGCCATGCCAGTTTGCTCTGTGGGATTTCTCTGATATTGCTCTACCCTGTACCCTATTCCAACCCTACCCCTTATAACCAATAAAGTTCTCCTTTGTACCTAGTGTGGGAGACTTATTGGGTGTGGGTCTAGATTATGCCTTGGGGTCCCCTTGGTTCGGCTGACTAAGGGAGACCACTGCTTGTGCTTCCAACAGAGAGAAGCACCTCCAAGTGATTGAAGTGAGTCAAGTACCCTCGAGGGCTACTAGGCCTGTGTTACCCAGGGGCCGCAGAGCCAGAATCAAGCCCAGCCCTGGGTGGTGGCAGTTTTAACCCCAGGCTAGTGGGTGTGCTCCAGGAATGGGGTCAGCCAGATGTGAAGTGCCCCCAGGGAGGCACTCAGAGCCTGGAACGTAGTCGGGTGCAGTGAGGTGGGTGGCTCAATGCAGGAACACTCCCTACTGGCCCACCACAAGGTACACTGGCAGGACTGAGGGGAAGGGGTTTAGGAGTGTGGGGCAGAGGCAGGGAACAGGCATATCACTGCCCCTTCACAATCAGATGCCCCTTTCCCGCCCCCCCCCCCCCCAAGAGTCCTCTTTTTTGATCCTGGAAATATGGTAACCCTAAAATGAGGGTACTTAAAATATCTACTGTAATGATAAAAGTGAATATTAAAAATAGAAGTCATGCTTATATTTAATGGAAGACTTCTTATTCCGCTCCAGGAATGTAACAGGGTATAAATATATTTATTTTTGCTTTAAGGCTGTTGTACACAAATGAATGGTGTAAAGGGTCAGACTCTTCCTCATATAGCTTATTATTCCCTTTCTTGATGCTCCTAAATGCAACATCATTTAGGGCCAGTGATACAGATGAGCAGTGGCAGAAGCATTAGATACTTTATCACAGGCAAACTCGGAAACTAGCCATGGAAATGATGCTCTGTCATCCCTAATGGTGCAGGGAGCAGGGGGTGATTTGGAGAAACTGAAGAGTAAGAGAGGACAAAGTGGAGGGTAGAGAGGTGCAGTGAAAGCAGTTTTTGTATTTAGCAGATAGCATTATCCAAATGTTCCTTTCCGTCCAGTGGCAGCAGGTCTCTAAAATGTGTGTGAATAAAAAATGTTTTTGTCTTTTCTGCACCACAACTCACAAAATACCATAAAAAATAAGAATGGGAAATCAATAGCTTTATTGATATAAATATCCAAGATGAGGTTTCCTGTGCAAAGCTTAAAACATAATGGTCACTGAAGAGGTACTCACAGTGTCCTCATGGACTGCACTTAATGACACTGGGCTGATTTAGAATCAGTCCCAAACCTGCAACTCCAGAGAAAACAGTGAAATAGAAACTGACTATTGTTACCACTGTCCTCCCTGCTGTATGGAAAGCAAAGATTAAAAAAAAAAAAATACTATATTTTCTTGCACACAACATGCACCTTTACCCCAAAAGACAGCTGCTGGAAATTGAGGTTCACATTATATACAAGGCAATAAGTAATAACAGTTTCTACCTGTGCCAAGGAAAATTAAAGTAATGCTGCAGTTCTGGAAATGGGGCTCCCTAGCTGCTGGCTGTGGAGCCTTTCTCTTTTTACCCAGCAGAAGCTACAGAAGCTGCTACGCAGTTACTTACTGCTACTTACCAATATTTGCAAGGAAAAATTATTTTCTTCATTCTGACCTTCAAAAACAAGGTGCATGTCTTATTAGGGGGCATTCTGTCTTCCTCATCTCTGCTTTAAAATTGTAATTTATTCTAAATGTATTCTTAAGTGTGAACTCATAGAATTTTACTTCAGTGTTCAAAAACATTTCTCAAATTTTTTGGTTTGAAGGCAGGCAAGAGAAGATCCTTTGTTAGCAAATTCCACAAATTTCCACCAGATTTCCAAGTAAGCATCTTTTTGCCTTCTCCCCTGTAGAACACTGACTTGATAGGACAACTTTTTCCATTACTAAAACTTCCAAAACTTTTTAAAACCAGTCCATGATTTTAGGGGATTTCACTTCTCTTCCAGGCTTTTGCAATTGTAATTTTTTTTCCCTTTTCATGTTAGACTTATACTTTCCTTTCTTCTCCAAAAAAGGCAAATCGATGGATTGTTTTTATAGTCTTATCACTGAATTTCCTAATTCTCTTATTCGCTCCTCTAATTCAGAACACACCTAATATATTCTATTCTATTGTATCTCCAATACTGAATATTCAAGTCACTGATATATTTTCATAGATTTCATAGACGTTAGGAAGGGACCTCGCAAGATCATCAAGTCCAGCCCCCTGCCATAGGCAGGAAGTCTGCGGGGATCAAATGAACCCAGCAAGATAAACATACAAACGCCTTTTAAATGAGTCTAGAGTAGGTGACTCCAGTTTACAAGCATTTTTTTTTTTTGAGAATTATTGAAAGTAACTTAATTTCCCCAACTAGTTCTCCCTGCTTGTAAAGTCTTTACAGTAGTTTGATGTTCATCGATTTTGTCAGAAAAGGTGCAGTCATCTAACCATTGTTTCCGCACTATGCTGTGTATTTCAGGTAACTATATCAGCAACAGCAATATTACTGTGACACTTTTTCTCATTTGGGTGGCAGCTTTCTTCTGGTCAGTGGCTCCGCTACTTGGATGGGGAAGTTACATAGGTAATTGATTTTTTGCACTCATGCCCTCTCCATATGCCGACACAGTCAGCATGTATTTGCATAACTGAAGCTGCTTTCCCTTCTTTCTTGCTGTTTTTTGTATAGCAGATTATTTATTAATTGGGCCAGGAGTATGATTCACAAAGAATAGTTTATTCTAGGAATGTTGCCTTTTATGATTGTGTTGTGGATATATCTTAGAGTTCAACTATCTTCTGCTAATCACTGCCTTTGTTAGATGGATTGCAGAACTGATGTGGGGCTATTATGTCCAGCTTTATATATTCTTTCCAATATTTGTTGCTAAGATCTAACTGGGCATATCTACACATGCAATTCATTTGTAGATGAGCCAGAGTTTATTGCTCCTGCGCATGCCATTTGAACATGCACCCAGGACCACAGCACGTTGAGCTGGGTCAGAGCAGCCCTGGCTGGCAACAGGTCAGGAGGGTGTACTTCAACCCAGCTCAGCGTGCTGCAAAGGGGCTGGTTGGGGCATGAGGGTACTCCAGTGTGGGCCCAGATGGCAGGCAGCCCCCACACTAGAGCACCTTCATGCCCCAGCTAGCCCCATCAGCATCTACATGTGCTGCACATGAAAAAACTCCACAGCTCAGGGCAACACAGGGTAGTACTTGTAAATACTTGTAAAAAACTCCACAGCAGGGTAGTTACAAGTACTACCCTGCTGTGGAGTTTATTAGTTTCCTGTGGCCTAACAGGGCTGTACATGTAGATGCCAAGACATTTACTGAGGAGCTAGTTAGGAAACTCCACAATAAATGTCTCACATAGATGTGCCTACTGAGTATGCTTCCAAAGTCACTTTCTGATTGGGACCGCCAGACATGTTGACCACCCCAGAGCATCCTTCTCTCCCCACCATGCTAGGGCTTCCAGGTTTCCTCTGTGGACCCAGGACCATGAAAGTGCTGGAAATCCTACTGTAGCCAGGAATCAGCTACCTGCCACAGGGAGCTGGGAACCTGGAAGTTCTGGGAGCCCTGATAATGTGAACTGCTTCAGACAGGAGACTCCTCTGCTTCCAAATCCTCAGGCCAGTTGGCTACCCGTGCTTCCTACTTGCCAAGCAATGAACCTGAGGGGCTGGCTGGCCTGGGATCAGGAGGCCCATAATTCCCCAGTCTTGAGGCGTTCTGTACAAGGGCAGTTAGGTATCTAAAGATCTTGGCTGTCTCTGATTTTTGAAAAATCCCCAATTTTTGGTTAAAAAAAAGTAACCCCAAATCCACATATATTAGTGGTGTTTCATTTAAATCATGGAAAAATGTGGATTTGGGGTTTATTTTTTTAAACTGAAAATTGGGGATTTTTTTTAAATCAGGGAAAACCAGGTTCCCTGCTAAAGATGCAGGTAGGTGCTAGTGAGATTTAACAAAGTGCCAAAACATGTCAAGCATCTAGCTCCCATTGACTTTCCATTGCATACCTATCTGCTCATATACCTCTGTAAACCCGATGAGACATCTAGATACATCTTTGGCTTCTAAATACCTTTGTTTGAACCAGTTTGTTACCCAAGGATCTGTAGCTCTGCAGGAACTGCAAAATGTGTGTATGTTCTGGTTTAAATCTGTCCCATGTCCTATTGGTACCTGGGTCCTTCCATGTCTTCTTCCATGTACTGTATTGACTTGTTTGCTTGTGTGTGGCCAGTGGAGTCAAATTCCTTCCTGTGTAGAATTGTCATGACTGACTCACTTCTTTTTTAAAAGAAAGCACAATGATTTCATTCCAGCCATTTCTATTTTTGCAACATGTCGATGAACATGACAGTTGATATTTTTAAAATAAATTGGTGTTTTGACTTTGTTTATTATTATTTATTTATTATGTTATTATTACCATGGAGCAAAAGATAGCAAGTGGAAGAACATAACTCTTAGCATTGTCAAACCTAAACACTTAATAACTATTTTTCTAAAACCGGAAATTACAGTATCCCAACTTACAGCAGCTTCTTCATCATAGATTTGTGGTGAAGATCTATATCAAAGGCAGGTTGGGAGCCAGCATCAAGTCCTGTTGCCACCTATGATGTCTTGGAAAATATCAGGGGTAGGGAATTATGTCCTAATTCATTCAATTACCATAATCACTAAGGGCAGAATTCTATTTCTTTTCTGCCTCGCTGGTCACATACCTGCCCAGTCAATGCATAGCTTACTGACCATGTTCAGTGGCCATGGAGCTGCTTGCATGTCCATACCGCATGGGGTAATACATTCACTAATTGGGCACAAGAGCCAAAAATGTCACTTATGTGGCTAGAAAATTGTCCTTTGGGAATGTGAAGTGAAATAGAATTCTGCCCTAAGTTGTCTAATTTCTAAAAGGAAAAAGTACATGCTTTAAACCAATAAATCAAATACACTAGAAACCTAACCAAATATTCTGTTTCCTAGATCGCATGTATGGAACATGTGAGATAGACTGGGCAAAAGCCAGTTTCTCTACTATCTACAAGTCCTACATTGTGTCCATTTTTATCTGTTGTTTCTTCTTACCTGTGACCATCATGCTCTTCTCTTATGTGTCCATCATCAACACTGTAAAGTCAAACCACACGCTGAGTGGAATGACTGACCCAACAGACAGGCAGAGGCGACTAGAGCGAAATGTCACTAGGGTAAGTTGCAATTTTTACTCTCTTTGTAGTACACAAGAAAAGAAAATAGATCTGGCACTCACTGTTCCTGTGTGGTTTAAGAAACGGTTAATATTCAATGAAGGAAATAAAAACTTGTTATTAAATTGGAATAAAATGAAAGAGGGAAAAATGACACGCTGTCCAATGAAAATATGGAGAAAGGGAAACTGAAATACCATATTTGTAGGTTGCCAGAACTATGCGGGCCTCACTTTGCTAGTATTTGAAGTTCCTTACTTGGTCCCTTCATCAGGCCCCACAGCAGGGGGCCTGATGCCCTCCACCCATGGGTGTTGAGGGAGCTGGCGGGGGTCATTGCTGTGCCCCTGGCCTGGCTGTACGAGCGATCGTGGTCCATGGGCCAGGTGCCCGGAAATTGGAAACTAGCTAATGTGGTCCCCATCTATAAGAAAGGGAGGAAGGAGGACCCAGGAAACTATAGGCCCATAAGCCTCACATCAGTCTTGGGGAAAATCCTTGAAAAAATCATTAAGGAGCACATCTGTCAGGGGCCTGCAGGGGAGATCATGCCCAGAGGAAATCAACATGGGTTCATCAAAGGCAGGTCCTGCCAGACCAACCTGATGGCCTTTTATGACCAGGTAACTAAATCCCTGGATGGTGGTGTCACCATGGATGTAGTCTTTCTGGACTTTAAGAAGGCATTTGACACTGTCTCTCACCCCATTCTCATTAATAAACTGAGCGACTGTGGCATTGATGCCTACACAGTTGGATGGGTCAAAAATTGGCTGATGGGGCATACCCAGAGAGTGGTGGTAGATGGGTCATACTCGACCTGGTGGGATATGAAGAGTGGGGCCCCCAGGGCTTGGTCCTGGGGCCTACACTGTTCAACATCTTCATCAGTGACTTGGACGAGGGGGTGGAAAACACGTTGTCCAAGTTTGCCGATGACACCAAGATGTGGGGAGAGGTAGGCATGCTCGAAGGGAGAGAGAGGCTGCAATTAGACTTAGACAGACTACAGAAGTGGGCAGATGAGAATAGGATAGGGTTCAACATGGACAAATGCAGGGTGCTGCACCTTGGGAGAAGGAATCCACAGCATACATACAAGCTGGGGAGTTCCCCCCTTGTGAGCACAGAGGTGGAAAGGGATCTTGGAGTCATTATTGACTCCAAGATGAATATGAGCCACCAATGCCAGACCACAGCCAGCAAAGCCAACCACACCTTGTCGTGCATCCAAAGATGCATCTCAAGCCGGTCCAGAGAGGTGATACTCCCCCTCTATGCGACATTGGTCCAGCCTCAACTGGAGTACTGAGTCCAGTTCTGGACAGTGCACTTTAAGACTTCGTGGCCTGCCTTGAGAGGGTTCGGAGGAGGACCACCCACTTGGTTGGAGGGCAAAAGGGCAGGCCCTATGAGGAAAGGCTGAGGAACCTGAACCTGTTCAGCCTCAGCAAGCAGAGGCTGAGGGGGGATTTGGGAGCTGACTACAAACTTGTTAGGGGAGATCAGCAGCAAATAGGAAGAGCCCTATTCTCCCCAGCAGCACCTGGGGTGACGAGGAACAATGGCCAGAAGCTACTGGAGAATAGGTTCAGGTTAGAGATTAGGAGGCAGTATTTCACTGTCAGGGTAGCTAGGATCTGGAACCCACTTCCTAGGGAAGTGGTCCTCACTCCTACCTTGGGTAAATTCAAAAAGAGTTTGGATGAACACCTGTCTGGGGTCATGTGATCCCAGCATGTGCTCCAACCAGTGGCAGGGGGTGAGACTAGATAATCTATTCAGGTCCCTTCTGACCCCTAACTACCATGAAACTATGAACTATGAATCTGAGAGGCAATTTGGTAAACTAAAGCTAAATATAACAAGACCTGTCCTGAACAAATCAAAAGAAAACATTGCAGTGTGTTCTTTTCAGAGGCACCCTAATGGCACGATTTAAAAAAAAATGTTCAGAATTAACCTAACTCCAGTTTAATTTATGTTAGTAATTTTACTAAAAGCTGAGGGCTTTCAAAATCCCCTCATTAATTGTGTTAAACTAAGACAAAGTAAGAACCAGGGGTGGATCCAGATGTGGTACAGTGATCGCACCCTTTTTTCAGACCGTGCTATGGGAGCAGCAGCCAGAGACTTTTTAAGTCCCCAAATCAGGTAAGACTCTTCCCTCCTCCCCTTCCTGCTTTGCTCAACAGCAGGATCCCTTCCCCTGTGCACAACTGCCATTTTTCCTCACTGACCCAGCAACCTGGGGGTACTCCAGAGCTGCGCCTGCCCCGCTCCAGCAAGATTGTGCAGGGACCCAGGCTCAGCCCAGAACAACAGCAGCAATAAGAGCAGGCAGGTAGGTTCCTCTAACCTGCCTGGTCTTCCTGAGTGTTCCCCACCAACCCAAGAGCAGGTTGAGGAGGGGGAACCTGCTCGCTGCCATTACCACAGTCAGTGCTGCTGCTGAGGCTGGCTCCCCATGCAGCCCAGCTGGAGTGGGGCAGGAGCAATGCTGGAGCCCCTCCTGCCCCTGAATCAGCTGGAGACAGTGGCTGTGGCAGATGAGCGAGTGGGGAATGGGAGATAAGGGGGCATGCTGCTGAGCATGGTGGGGGTGGGATAACTAGAGTTGTGGAGGGGAGCTGGGAGTCTCACCTGATTTGGAGACTTTAAAAGCAAAAGCTGGGAGCTGAGCAGCACCGGAACCTGGGAGCTCTCTGCTTTCCCATGCAGCTGGGGGCTGGCTGGGAGCTGTCCCCTTTCTGGGGCAGCTCCTGGTGAGCACTCAGCTGGTCAGGGAAGTCCTGGTGTAGCCTGGGGCTGGCCAGGAGCTGTCCCACTTCTGGGGCAACTCTCCACTAGCTCCTGGCTAGCAAGGGGTTTTCCTAGTTGCAGGGGAAAACCACTTTTCTATCAGGGGGTAGTACTCTGGCTCACGTAATGCCTCCCACTTTCACTTCCAATGGGAAGATCTTGGCTATATGCCGACTTTATGGAAATAGGAGATTCTTCCCTAGCTTGCTTCTGTGGACATACAGGTGAGGGCAAATGAAACTCGGTGGCATCCAAACCCCAAGCCTTTGGGCTGGGGCCTACACGTAGGATACCTGTCAAAGGACTTGGAAACATCTGAAGCCCCAGGGAGGGGTGGAGGATGTTTGCTGGTAGTAGGGCCATGTATGGTTCTTGAATGACTCACAGATTTGGAATTGATTTAGCTGATTTGACTTGGGACATGAAAATTTTTCCTTAAAAAAAAAGAAAGAAAAAAGGACAGGTCTGGGCCAGCCCTTGGCTGCTCAGGGATTTCCCATTCCAGCCAGGGAGCTGTCCTTGAAGTAGGACAGCTCCTGGCAAGTCCCCAGCTGTGCAAGGGAACTCCTGCTGGACACGGGGCTTGTCTCCATGTGCACAGGGTTGGGAGAGCTCTGCAGTGGCAGCTGTCTCCCAGTCCCATGCACATCAGGACCCCCCCCCAGGAGACAGCTGCCGCTGCAGCCAACAGAGCTCTCCTGGCCCTGTATGCATTGGGACCGTGCCCTGTGCTCCTTGCCAGCCTCTGGGCTAGCACCCTGGAGGAGCCTGGAGTTCCCCCTGGCTGCTGCAGGAGGCCAGAGCAGGTTAGGAGCAGTCCTGTACCAGTCTGCACCCATTGGGAGCAGATTTGCTCCCAACAGGGAGCACATGTACATGTGCTTGCAGGGAAAGCTTACTGCACAATATTTATAGCATTAATAGCACATGTAGATGCTCCCTGTGTATACTAATAACTATACAATAACATGGCAAGAAATACATAAATGCATTGCCTTTGCTAACAGGGTTCTTTGGGTAAATCTGATATCTTTTATTAGACCAACTAAATAGTTGGAGAGCAATATTTAAGCAAGCTTTCGGGTTCAAAAACCCTTCGTCAGGCTAAGGAAGTTTCAGCAGTCGGTGTGTGTTCTTCCTGGATGGAATGAAAAGTAAAGAAGCCAGAGGCTGGGCTGGTCTACATACAAGATAAGCAGTCAGTGAAAATGACTTTACCTTTGCTAAAACATTCTGTTCACATTTTCTGTAGAAAAAATGTGATTTTTAGTTGTGGTTAGTAGAGGTGGTCAGAAATTTTCCATGAGAATGATATTCTCATGAAAAATTTGTTTTCAGCAAAAGCAGAATTTTCTCCAGAAAAATTTCAGTTTGGCTAAAAATTTTCAGTTTCTTGTTAGAAAATCATTATCAGAGCCATAATTCATCCACTTGGCAGCAGATGGCAGTCCAGGGCTTCCAGGCTTCGTAGCTCGCCCATAGCCCAGTAACCAGAAAACTGGGAAGTTTGTTTCATGTTTGAAACACTGACATATTCCCACTGTGAGAATATGACACCATTTCAGTTCTCAGAAAAAAAAATCAAGTTTTTCACTTTCCATCCCAATTTGGAATTACACTTTTTCTGAAAAACTGAAATTCTTTTCACAACTAAAATTCCATTTCCTAGCAAGAATCATTTTTTGGCAATATTGTTTGTATTCCAGTAGCCACTAGAGGATTCAACTGAGACCAGGGATATGTTATGCTAGGCACTGTACAAACAAAGGTTGGGAAAAGAAGCAGAGGCATAAAGAGGTGAAAAATGATCTGTCTAAAATCATAGAGTGTTAGCCAGTGGTATAGCTGGGAACACAACTCGTTTTTCACTCCCTTCCCCATGAAACTGCACCACATGCTTACTCTGCCTTACTCTTCACTGCAACCTAGCATCCTATGCTGTGGGAAAGTAATTAAAGATTTTTTTTTATTCTGTCTCCTAGATTTCTATTGTCATTTGCACAGCCTTTATCATAGCCTGGTCACCATACGCTGTTATCTCCATGTGGTCTGCCTGTGGCTATCCTGTGCCCAATCTCACAGGCATCCTTGCCAGTCTTTTTGCTAAGTCTGCCAGCTTCTACAACCCCCTGATCTACTTTGGCATGAGCTCCAAGTTCCGGAAGGACATTTTCACCTTGTTGGGCTGCGCCAAGGAAATCAAGGACCCAGTGAAGCTCAAGCGCTTCAAAAACCTCAAGCAGAAGCAAGAGCTTTCTCAGAGACGAGAGAAATATGCTGCGGATGTCCAGCCAGTCCCAAGTCCTGATTCAGGGGTGGGGAGTCCAAGCCAGACCCCACCACTGGAAAACCGAGAAGCAAATTTTAGTACCTTAGATTCAACATCTAATAATAACCCTGATGTTGAATGTGACAGGCTATAAGTGCTGTGGCCCTTTAATGCGTGCACACATTCTGCATACAGAGAGAAGGGAAACACCTCACTGCTTGGGAGCAGCTCCCGATTTCCCATTCCATCTGGCCCTTAACATAGGTCTAATGACAACTCCTCCAAGACCTGCAGTAACTTAAGATGTATGGTAATAACCAGATATAATTCTTAATTACATTTAGATTATATAATACCATGCCACAAACTGCAGTGGTGGGCAGCCACAGGGATTTCCTTTTCTTCTGTAGCTACAGTGAAGCACATGCGATTTCTCTATTTAGAAACATTGTTAGGTGGCAAAAATCATTAATATTTCATATCCGGATCATATTAATTAGGGAATTGCAGTTCTAAAAGCATATTTTCCCATCCCTTTTACCTGAAAATAGTCTCAGCTTTATCCCATTGCTCTGGCCCCACAACGCTGCATTGACTCAGTGGCTAGAAGGAAACAGCTCCTACCACTATTGCTGTAACGCTGCCTGGGGAGCTGGCCACTAGAGGGCATACAAAAACTATGTGCTTTCTACAAGAAACTAAAATGTTACCTCCATGATTATCCCAGACTACTCCAGGGCAGGGGAATGGGAGTAAGAGTCCTAAAATCTCACTGCAAATGAATGTGCTTGCAGCCAAGTCAGTGAAGGCTAACAGACAAGTTGCTTGTAATATTGGCATCTTCTGGTTTCTTGCTGTACTACAAACATTAGCTTCACACCTTTCCTTATTAACCTGCTAAATTATAGGAATCTTTCTTGATTTCTATGGTGAACAGAGCATGAGCATAACATTCAGACTTATAGAAACCAGCCTTAATTTTGTTCATGCATCTCCAAATTATTTTTTTGTTTAATTTGGCTATTATAGCGGAGTAAAAAATATTGCACAGGCAATGAAACTAGTGATTATGTTCTTCTCACAAAAGGCATAAATAAAATATGGTTTGAAAAACCATTTAAAAGACCCCACCTTTATTGAATCAAAGAAAATCCCATTATAAATACAAGGGATACAAAATCAATAATTAGGTAGGCTACTGTATTAAGTTATAGTTAGAGGCAGTATTTTAAAAAACAAACATGGGTTTCTATCAGTGAGAAGGCTGTTGCATGCTACTGGCAAACTCTGCCTATTTTTTCAGGCAATTATAGAAAATGAAAATGAGCAGAGACATGCCTATGTTTCCCATTGTTACAGCTACCTCCTATTCAAAGACTTGCACAAAAATAACTTATCTATCAATTTGTGAATGCTTACAGTAAACACGTTCCCTTTGTAATATTTTATATTCACTCATTCATTGGCAGCTGACTGTTCCACATTAAAGAAGAAAAAAATAATTAGCAAACCTCATTGCAAGTTCTGAATCTGTGGAATCTCTCACTGTCCAAATATATTATAAAAATAAGTTTATTTTGTAGAAGTATGTTTTTCCATATGTATTTCTTGGGAAAATTACAAAAAAATAGCCCATCTTAATTTCCTCCAACAGTATATTTATTCTGAGATTTTTAATCTCTGATTTGTGTTTAAAAACAAATTTACTTTATAAGCAATAATAATGAACTAAGATGGCTTTCATGGCCACAGATCTGAACTGAAAGTGTATTCATTTTTGCGGAAAAGTTTTTAGATTTGGGCTCTTTTTTTTCTATTTTATTACCATAAATAATTAAAAGCAAATAGGGGAAGTGTTTGCTTCTTGAGAAAGATGCATGCCACAACTCCTGAAGCGAAGACAACCAACAACATATTTACAGCAAAACTCCACTCTGATTTGATGGACCCATGCAGGGAGAAGTGGAATGAGTGAAAGGCCCCATCCTAACAGCACACCAAAGACTCATACTATGCAATGTGCTGCTGCTTTCAAATTAAGCATCAAATGTTCCAGCTGTTGCATATTGCTTTCTCAAGTATCCACATTAGCTGTTCTGTTGATGGGCCTGACATATCCCATTAGGACCATCATGGGCACCCAATACCAACCAGCCACCCAACCTGGCATCTTCCTAGTGGGTTGTTGGGTAGCAAACAGTTTTGCTCCACTGCACACCTGTGACTGAGAAAGGAGATGAATAGACTCTAGGTCCCTATATTCCTTTTCCCTGGTGCACTCCCATGGTAAGAGCGAGCCCATCACATACAAAGGACTGATGTGGCAAATCATTGTCACTCTAAGTGACAGAGACTTTCATATTCAAAAGTCAGTTACAGGAACATCTTCTGACTCCACTAACAAGAAAGCTGTATTTCAAGCTAGTACGTGTGCATTGGTAACCACTGTACAAAGCACACAAGCATTCACATGAACAAACAAACAGCAAAATGAAATGATAAAAGTGGGAAAAGGAGTGCTGGAGAGGAAGGTGACAGAAAAGGAATGGAGAAGGGGAAGAAGTAAGGGAGGAAAACAGGCAAGAGAAGCAGTGGCACCAGCCAGCAGAAGATGTGTTCTCAAAGTCTTGGCCAGGCTGCAATAGCAGCCCCTCTTGCAAGTCTGTGTGAGGCATGTCATGAATGTACAAGGCTTCCATGGAATAAGGCCGCCATATAGGGGAGTTGGGCAGATGGAAGGAGGGGGGGATGCCAATACATTCACCACCCTGGACTGCAGGTTGGCAGCAGCAATGCTGTGTTTGTCGCTGAAGAGTTGCCTAAACAAAAAGATTCCAGACCTAGATGCATTGAACAGAAGCAGCAATTCTTGTCCTTGCAACTTCACACAGACCTCAGTGCATGACACAGTATGGAAAAAATGTTCAGAATTTGTGACCCTGCTTCAGGGCATGTAAAATGTACTTCATGACTTAAAATATGTGGATTAATAAAATTAAATTTAAAAAACACTTTCCACAAATCCAGCTTTGCGTGTGCGTGTGTGTGCGCGTGCGGGCACACATGCACTCTAGTTTCATTTCCCTGTCCTTTATTCTTTTTTTTTCTCCAAAAAAAGAAACACACTTACGACTAAAGCAGCAGCCAAGGACACAGAAGAACTAGACTTTATTTCTGGCTCAGCCACAGACTTTCTGTGAGATGCTGGGCAAGTCAAACATGCCAGAACGTTCAGAGAATTTGCAGCAATGTCTGTTCCTCTCTCTGTGGAAACATTGCTGCATTTATTTTCACAATTCCTGCATGAGAAAGGAAAATATTATCTTCTTTTTTACATATGGAGAATTGACACACAAAGGGCTAAATTTCCAAAAGTATTTAGGGCACATATAATGAGAAATTAAAATATATCACTCTTTCAGTCTTGTTTGCTCAGTTGTGCAGGGTCAACTATAAGGGTGAGAGTGTCCCCAGTCAGACCATGTTATAGCCTGGTGTTTAAGGTACTGTCATTGTAAGCGGGAGACGAGGAGTTGGCAACCTCCAGCATGTGTGGCATGTGAAGCTATTTTGCTTGGCATGCCACAGCTGGCTCAGGCTCTGAGCAGGCCCCTACTGCTAGCCACAGAGTCCAGGCTTCTTGCACCAAGTGGCAGGGAGGCTGCAAGCAACTGCACCAGGGTCTGTGGAGCCCTGGATGGGCTCATTGCCACCAGTGGGTGCACATACACCTTAGGTTAGACAGCGGGGAAGGGGTTGGGGATGCACTGCCACAAGGATTAGACCCCTAGTGGTTCCCCTGCCATCTACCCCTGGCACACCAGCCTCTTACAAGTGGAGGTTTGGTGGGGGGGTTGGCATTCTGCTCAAAAATGTTGCTGACCCTTGCTTTAGACCTAAGTGGGAATCCACCCACTTCCATGGTAAGTGCACTAACCAGTAGGCTCTTCAGTACCACAACAGCTGGCATTTTTGAGCTGAGTGATGTGAACATGCCTAGTGAACTGACACGTCTTCAGCACCTACCTGGCTAGCAATGAAGTGGAGGCAGGAATAAGCAGCTAGGCTGTCAAATTGAATTGTTTCGGCACATACTAAGAAGCCTAGCATGGGGACCTTGGGAATTTTGCAAACCAAAATGGAGGCACTGCCAGGACTTTGGCAGCTTCTGGGATTTCTGGCTTGTAGAGCAGGGCCAGTCTGGATAACTTGTTGGAACTTAAGCACCTATCTTCATTAAGCCCCATTCAGGCACTTAAGGAACCAGGTTGGATCTGGCTCTGGGGTTATTTTTGGATCTGGGCCTGGGTTTATTTCTGCATCTTCTGGTCTGTAGGCTAGATCCACAAAGAGAATTAAGCACCTAAGTCCTATGCTAGGAACTTTTACTGAGCTCTTCAGAATTCCCAGCTCAACTGGTGCTTAAAGATTTAAGTACCTGAAGTCCAGAGGTTCCTAAATTCCTGCTAGACTTGTGGAGAGTGTATTTCAAATTACAATGAGATAACTAAGACAGGGTCAACTATTGAATGATGAAGATAAAAGAACTATTGGACAACTACCTGATTCTTTGAGCACCAAATCCCCTGTTCACTGAATAAGACAGGCTTCCTTTGAGGAAGAACATATGGGATAACATAACAGAAAACCATTGAAAAATATACTATTTGTACACATGTAAATGGGATGAACTCAAGATTCACAGGCATGTTGGCTTCATCTGTGCTAAAGCTTTGATGGTACTCACTTACTGACTTAGCATGCCTATTGATGTGCTTGTTCACGTTCTAATTGAATGCCCCAGCATCACCTCAATGTCATGTGTATTAAGCCCCCATACATTTCAAAATGGCCACGGGGCCTCTTTATCTACACCTTGTTGAATGAGCTTTAGATAAAGCATCCCATGGCCATTTTGAAATGCACCAGGGCTTAATGCACGTGATGGTGAGCTGTTATAATTACAGTGTTTTTCTGGGAGCCACTCTAATTAAAATGCCCCTCCCATACACCCCAGAGCACATGTATAGGCTGCCTTAGATCTGTAATGGTTGACCTCTGGCTCCATTATGAAGAGATACAGGAAATGGATCTGTGCCTTTAACAGCCAGGCTGTGCTGTCTGGAAGGGGTGGTCCCTTAGGCTATATAAGCC